GCTGAGGCCAGAGCATCGGCATCTTGAGCAGCCGATGGCAAGAGGCAGCATCTCATGCCAATTGTAAGGTCATGAATACAGCAATAAATCTGCAAGGATTTCAGTAGCAAGGCCTGTCCTGTTTCCCTAAGGCTGGTCATGTTGCTAAATCTGATCTGAAAGCTATGTATCTGTTGTAAATTATCCTTTCCTAAGCCCTTTTCCAACCTCCACAAACTTTCTGCAAAACCAGATGGGGATTTAATCACTGTTCTGCTTTTTCAGGCTTGCCTCGGGATTAGTATTATAAAAATCAAATAGGAAAGTAATGAAAGTACATCTTCTTGGCAAGGTACGTCTCTGGGGAATAGTCAGCTAATGCCAAGATTAAATTCAAAGCTGATACATGCATGATAAGTCTGGATAATACAATTTACAAAATTATATCATATTTTAAACTCAGGCTGTGATACATTTTGTGTGTCTGCCTTCTCTGGGAGATGAGTCTCTTATGAACCACTGAGATACCAAAGTCCTTCTTTCCAGCAGCTAGACTACTCTATGTGGTTATGTCAACCTAGCAGGCCATTAAATTCCCACCTAGGAATAGTAGATTGTTACATCCACTGGCATATTGGGACTGGCAGTTACTAATGTCCCTAATAGTTTCATCACAGCTTGCATTTTATGAATAAGAATACAAATCTAGCTCTGAATGTAACTAATTTCCTGCTATGAGGCATAAATATGTTTGTGGAACTTAGATGACAACATGCTGGTGTCTTTAATGGGCAGCCATATAAAGATCCAAAGGTAATTATCTTTCCTATCTTGCAGTACTTCACTGAAGTGCATTTGCAAGGTACCAAAAGAATGTTTTGTAAAACTGTTCAGTTAGAACAACAATAATGAATGTTCAAGGTGAACTCTTATTCAAATATGAAATTGCTCATTTTCGGAAGGAATGATTCCTCTGGAAATCATTATGTAAGGTCCAAATGATAATGTATTGCTTTATAAGTGGACTTCTAAGGCTTGCTGCAAAAATCTCTAGCCTGAATACAGGTTTAGATGAAAAGAACAAGTAAAAATTCCTGATAAAATTCTTTAGACTTCACATTATAATTTCTGTGGGACTTTTTCTATAAAATTCAGGCTTCATTTTTGTATTCTGTGAGATTTTTCCATAAAGTAGTTAAAATTTTTAGGTTTCTTTTGATATTTTTCCTGTTCTTTTTCCTTCTCACAGACAGTCATACACCTTAGAGAGTAAGTGCAAGTGATTTGATAGAAAATGAAGAGGGTTTTGTGATGAAGGAACTGGCCTGAAGCTCCAGAGATCTGGAAAGGACTTTTGTGCAGAGCACCTGGCCCTGTATCAGAGCTTTTGTGTGATCCAGGGCAGGCATCAGCTGGCACCCAGGTGCAGCCCTGCAGGGCATGGGGAGCAGACAAGGCACATTGGCCATGGAGCCTGGCTCTGGGCAGAGCTTGCTGGCTCCACACTATCCTTCCTTGCCAGCCAGGAGGTGCAGGAGCAGTCCTGGTCAAGCCTGGGGACACCAGGCTGTTCCTGGTGTGACCACAGCTGATGCTCACCCAGGTTTAGGCACAGTCACCAGCACCCCACAGGCCTGCCAGCCCCTCTTTGTCTGGTGAGCAGACCCACAGCTCGTGGGGCCGGTGTCGCCTCCACCACCTGCAGCCTGCACACAGCAGCACCCACCCACCTTCAGTAGAGTGTGGGGGTCTCTTTAGCTCTGTCCCTTTCCCAGGAACTCAGCCCAACCGCAGCAATGTTCCACTCACTCTCCACAGCTCTTTCCAAGACTCCAGTGATGCTCTTCCCATCACATTGCAGGTCCCAGACAGCTCCTCCAGATAATGCCTGTGTAACTGGAGGCAGCCACAGACCTCTCTCTGATAAGGTTAATGTGATTATTTTGCTTTTTGGGTTTAGTACAGCCAACTCATTCCCTGAGCTGCATAGTTTGTGTGTGGCATGATTTTTGCAAACATTGGTGTGCTTTGTTACTGCTCTGGTTTGAAAACCAGAGCCTTTACCTGGGAATTATGGTATGTTGTCAATTTTCTCAAATGAGGGTGCAACAATATTGGTAATTATTGACCCTACAGTACACCAGATTATCTCCCTATGCTTCATTTTTTCCATATAAAAAAGTGAGAGCAGTGCAGGATTTTATAAAAGCTCCTGATACTGAAGGACAGCAGACTGTGGCTGCCTTTTTGCTTGCTGACTGTTCAGGTGACCAGAACTAACCCTCCCCAAAAACATTACTTCTGAATGCAGATTATTATTTGTTTCAAGAATGTCTGTGTATCTGAAAGGAATAATAATACACTGAGTAGAATTAAGATTATGCTGAACTTAGGACAAACATAGCTGAGATTTCAGCTGGGGTGAGACTGTCTTGATGCCAGAACAAACACTCTAGTTTTGCTTTGGCCTTCCTTTGGAAAAACTAGCTGCACACACATAGCTGCCAGCTTCTGTTGGCTGAGGTGACATGCTTTTTACGAATCCACGTTTAACTTAGCCAGTGACTACAACAGACTTTCTTTGCCTTTATATGGTTGTTTCATGTTTCTCTGCATCTATCTCAGCCTACTCCCAATAACATCATCACAGCCTAAGAAACAAACTGTGTTTCTGGGCATTCTTTGCAATTTCTTGAAAGAGTGTGGCACTGATGCTTTTATGATTGAGGGGTCTAAACCCACAACTTCTAGTCAGTTGCTGAAAGCTGATAGCATCAATAAAGAGTTATGCTGAAAAGTATTAGAGCAGCCACTTTCCCTCACAAGAAATATGTTGATCTTGATCACCTTCCACCAAGATTGATCCATATTTATCTTCTTTAAAAGTATTATTGAAGCATCAGACTTCATTTATGCATGGAATCATTATTTTCCAAAATCTTCACCATATTTAAGCTGAAGGGTGTTCATATTTCCAAAGAAATTTTTCTCCAGGACAGTAGTCTCCAGGACTATTAGCATTGCATTGGCAGATTAAGAAAGTGCAGCTCATGTCTCTATATATGATGGTTTTTTTTGCTAGAACCAGCATAATCTCAGGACTGTTTTGTTTCTTCATGCAGAGGGCAAATAGGGTAATGTCCTGAGTCTGTGAGAGACAGCATAATAATACCACAAACTTGCAGCCAGCCTCAACTTCTGTGATTCCTGGGACAAAGCAAGGTGCCAGGGTGCTAGAGTGCTGCTCTTGCTCCTTTTTACCAAGTTGCTTTTTGTCTGCCACCACTTCCTTTCCACAACAGCCCTTCACCTGGTGAGGTGTGGTCAGGTCTTCACTGTTTGGCACACCACTTGCTGTGACCCCAGCACAGCTCCTAGAAACACTGACACCATGAAATTCCCTTTTTGTAGTCACAGAATTCCCTAAGGAGGGTTTAATAGAGCCAGAACCAGAGCAGCATCACTCTTAATGTTTGTCTTTGGTGGCGTGGATCCTTTCTGTGTCTGAGTTCATATCACAGCTGTGTAGCTCTGGGATATAAATGTTCATTGCTTAAACATAGTAGAAAAAATTATTTAGTGTGATTTTATTTAGTGTAACTACCCAGAGTTGGTTTTGGTTCCAGTGTCAGTGGAGGAGAGCTGTGGGGTTGCATCACTTGAACGAGGTTGTCTGTGACACCAGGCAGCACTCCAGCTGTTTGCAGGGGAGTTTGTGTTTTCTGAGTCCAGAAAGTGAATCTACTGGTCCACATACCAGCTCTCGGGAAAGCAGAAGGTATGAAGAGAGAGTGAAAGCCACTTTGATTTAGTTTTTTTACCGTATTGCTTTTAAAGAAGTTTGAACACTTGCTTAGAAGCCAGTTGAAAAGCTTGCTTGAGGAGGCAGGAGAGAAAGAGAAGGTCTCTAGTTCATGACATGAATTTAGTTTATTAAACTTCAGAGTACTTGCATTTTTGTTTGCTAAATGCAGAAACAACCCATCTCTTTTAGCTGAGACCAGAATCCAGGAAAGGGCATTGAAATACAAAAAGCACAGAGCCAAGAAATGGTTTATTGTGCTGCAGCATAGTTGTCCTGTGTGCTTATGGAAGACATTAGTGGGAGAATATGTTCTAAAATATATAAAGAAAAAGAAGGTTCTCACATTTCAGAACTATTTCATGCAGTTCATATATGGCATAGGATTTTGTCAGGAGTTGTATTTCTCCCATAACCAGACAAGTCGTCTCTGCTTTCTGCTGCAGAGGTCACAACAAAAGCTTGCAGCTTTATTACCACCTACTTACATGCTTACATCAGCTTTTTGAGTGTCATATCCTAAAATCCAAGTTTGCACGTGCTTTTGAACCAGGCAGACGGAATTGAAGCGCTATGTATGTGTTAACACAATTTGGTGGTAGTTGTTAATTTTACTGAAAACAGAGGTTCTTCATTCTGCTGGAAGTTTGCTCCGTGGCATCTCTAACAGAGTCTGAAATTAGCTGCAGGGCTTCAGGGATCCCAGTAACACTTTGGTGATGCCTAGGGACCCTGTGACTCAGCTAGAGGAGTTCATGCTCTCAGTCCTGGGAATAAAGTAAAAAAAAACCCAAAAAAAAACATAAAGTTGAACCTGGTGACATTATTTCCAGCCTCTAAAACCATAGTAGAGCTTTCACTGCTAACTGTCTTCTGAATTAATGATAATTGGATTTAAATGTGATAATACTTTGCTAATAGGATAGCAGGAGAGATCTGTGTCAAAGTATAGATGGGGTGAATACTGACATTCACAGTGGCAACAAGTAATCTCTTAAAATACTGGCATTAAAGAGAAACTGTCAGGGGGGTCATTTTTTGAAGGACAATCTGAAGTGGTGTTTTTGAAAAAACAAAACCCAAGGCAATGGTGACGTGCCTCAGGGTTATCCAAAGTAGGTCAGGGTGGGAATGGGGAGGACGTACGCAGGGCACACAGGAAAACTGCCAAGTGCCTGACCTTGCTCCTTTTCCTGAAGCAGGAAGACCAACCTTCAGAAGTCCAGGAAATCCTGCCACAGTTGAAGATAAATGGTTTTACTGAGCTTCCAGACAAAACCTTCTTAAATCTGCACATTAGAAGAAACAATAAGAATAATGGACCAAAAAGATGTACCTAGTGTTTCCCTTCACCTTCCCAGATGCAAAGCAAGGTATGTGCAGGGCACATTCAGGTTCCTATTTGTCAAAGTACTACCTAAAAGAGACTTTGGAAGCTGTGTGGACTAAAGTTCTCTATTGCATAGCTGTAGTTGTCCATATCTGGGCTCTATGGCATTTTCAGCATAAGCTGCATACTAAGAAATGGTACTACTGTATTGGGGAAAGGAGGACGAAGAGGGAATGAGAATACCAGTGCCTTTACATACCAGCTCCAGCAAGCAAAACTAACTGTTTTTGCAAACAACCTTCTTTGCTCTAAATTCATCCTAGGAGAGCTGAGGCAGTGTTCTGATTTCAGCAGCACTTGCAAACTAAATGAGAAAAGACTCTTCTGTTGATTGTTCTGTCCCATCATGAAGTCTCCAAATCAGCCCATCAGACATTTATTAATTAGTATCCTTATAGAGTAAATATCTTTATTTAGTAAAACATGAAAAGTGCTTTGGCAATCCCATTTTAGGTCTAATCTAGACCTATCATTAGAGTAAACTTTTCATTGAAATTCCATGGGATTTTTGTTGATCGTTTTTGTGGGGTTTTTTAACTTGAAATGTGCTCAGAGGACAGAATGTTTTAGTGAATTGGATCCAAGAGCCATTTCAACATGCTCGAGGCAGATGTTATCGGGAAGGACCATTTGTATTGGCAGTCCTTCAAAGGTTACCCTCTAACCGTGCTCAAATCAGGTGAGTCCCAGAGAACTCATACTTGATTCTGGCCATGGCTTCAGAGTCTGCAGCCACACAAGCTAGAAGAAGACTGTTAAATTTTAACAGACATTACAGTTTCTGTCTGATCTATTAAACTTGGGTAACATATAATTGGTAAATATATATTTTTAGATATCTGCACATTAGTAAACACATGAAGGCTGATAAAAAAATTGCATTTCCCCTAGGGCTTAAATACAACTTTTTTAGTACAAAATTTGAATGGCCTCATCTTTAATGGATTGTAAGATGCTGGTGCATTTTGAAAAAAACAGCAAACCTTATAAGTTAGCAACTATTTTTCTTTTTTGTCTCTCCACTCCTCTCCTCTCCTTGAAGGAATGAAAAATTTTAAAAGAACACCAACAACAATCATTTTGTACAAGTTGTGAGGTACTCTTTTAATTCTGTGCTGGGCAGGTGACCTACTGTTCATCAGCCCAGGAAACTGGTACAGACTCTGCCCGTCATCAGATTCAGATTAAAAAAGAAATGGCAGTGCTTATTTGCACTTCTTTTACAAAATGAACTGTGTGGATGAATCACTTAAACAAAGCACCAGCCATAGCAAATAATGTTGGTATTTAATTTACTCACAGTGGGTATTTAGAAATTTGCTCATGTGAGAGAACAAGCTGTGCCCTCTCTGCACTCCTGCGTCAGGGCTGCTGCAGCCTCTCCAGGCACTTTGCCTGGGGGCTGGGGAGTCTGGGGCTGGGGAGGAGGGATCTGGGACTCCCTGCAATTGTAACTGTGAGAAACGTTCTTCATATTTCTCTTTGTGTGGCCGTGACATCTTTGTTTGGTTTTCTGTTAAACAATGTTGAGTTGAAGGGTAGGGGGGAAGGCTGGTGAGATGCTTTGGGCATTTCTGAGCCCTGGTTATTGCAGATTCAGAGGTTTGTTCCAGAGTGCTCCAAGGCACTGGCAATGCACAGCTTTGCTTTCTGTGGGGATGTGGATCTGCCATGCAGTCCTATCTCATGGGCAGGTCTCTTGATTAGGGTGAAAGGCTGGAATCACACAGACTACAAATGGCATCTTCCCCATATCTAGAAAGGAGTAACATACCAGAGGGAGCAAGATCTTTTCGTATGACAGAGGCCTCAGCTCAACTCTAAGATTTTGCTTATAGGAAAGAAAGGTCATACAATACTGGGTGGTTTTAGCCAACATACTTTTACTTATTTTCATTTTGAAAAGATTTAGCACGTATTTAATATGGCTCTGTAAGGCTGAGAATCCTCTTTCCCTGATATTTCCAATCTTCCTTCCTGAGCATCAGTTTTCTGAAACACATCACTTTGTCTAGCTTGTCACTGTCTGAACATTAGTTATTCTAAAAATGCCCTCTTTGTGTCGGAAGGGATTTGGTCTGGCTGCCTGACAGCAGGCTGTGAAAAACAGCCCCCAGCTCTTTCTTGGTCTGTCTCATGCCAGTGTGGAGCCCAGGCTGTCACTACCCAGCCATCCCACAGAAGATGCTGACAAGATGCACCACCTTCACTTCTGAAAATTGCCACAGTCAAAGGGAAGGATGGGAAGGATTTTCTGCTTTTCACAGAAGCTGGGCATGCAGCAAAATGGGTGCTGTAACCTGAATGTTTGCAGCACACTATAGCTGGACAAAGAGGCTGCACTGACCCAGTCAGGGAGCTATCTACAAGATAAATGTTTGAACTGAGGCAGGCTCTTCAGGCACTCTGATCATGTGCCACACACTGCATACACTGGCAGCTGTCCCAGTGACACAGTGAGCTAGAAATTGTGCTGCTCAGGTGCACGTGCTCCCATGTTCTGAGCTGGCTTGGAATACAAAAGGTCTTTGTGAGCTCCAGTTCTGTGCTCATCATCCTGACCATCCTCTGTAGGCAGACGGAAGTAGGCACATCTTCCACAAATTTACAAGTATTACCAAAGCTGTCCATCATGGTTACATCTGTACTTTGGGAGATTTTTTTCTTAAAAACTTTTTAAAATCTCAGCCTAAGAGGTACACCAATATTTTCTTCCTGCAAAGACCAATCCTGCAGGGCAATTCAGGGAGAAATATTTCTTGTATAGGGCTTTCTTTTGTTATATTTTCTTTTTCAAAAATATTTTTATTTCTTTAAATATATATTTATGGTGTTCAAAAAGCATATCCACTGGTCTTCTCACTGGAGGTTTTTTCTACATGGTGACAATGCTATACAAAAGAATATATTCTTCATTTTTTTTCCATTTTCTCAGGCCAAAAGAATGTAATGAAAATCATGACCTGAAAGATGCACCAAGATACTTAAATTCCCTGGAACATAGGTCCCATTCAGGAATGTGTTTTATGAAGTATAAGAATATGCTTCATATAGAATAAACCATTAACTAAAAGACCCTCTTCCTGTTTAAAGCCATTCCCCCTTGTCCTATCACTATATTTAGAATAAAATCTAATTTTATTTTAAAGTTGGCATTGTTGGAATGTCCACAATAGTCCTTAGTGAATTGCTCCAGCAAGTGAAATGGTCAAAACTTCACAACTAACTTCAAGCATTTATTATCAGATGCTATTTCTTGAATCTTGTCCCATGGATAAGTTTCTGGTCTTTCTATTCTCATATTTCTGATCTCTCTGTAGGTACTGAAGAATCACAAGAGGTGGATGTTGGCAGGGAGCTCTGGAAGCTGTCAAGTCAGTCCTCTGCTCAGAGCAGCTGCAGCCAGGGCTGGTGTCCAGGGCTCTGCCTGGTCCAGCTTTGAATATCCTCAAGGGTGAATACTCCAGAATCTCTCTGGGCAACCTGTTTCAGTGTTTCACTACAGCCCAGTGAAAAAGTGCTCTCTTTTGTTTAAGGGGGATTTTCTGGGTTTCAGGTTTTGCCTCTAGTCCTGTCACTGCAGAGAAGAGTCTGACTCATTCTTCTTTCCTTCTCACCACAACTATCAGGTATTTATCAACAATAATACAATGTTCAGCTGATTATTCCCTCAGACCTCAAATTCTTTTTAGAACCCATTTCTTTCCCTTTCAATGCCTACTGCCTGACTTCTCAGAGTTTGGACAAATTCATTCCCAATTGTAAAAGTGCATTCATCATTCATCTTGTCAGCTTTTGCAGATTGAATTATAGCAGTGGATTGTCCTCTTTACAGTTTGCCAGTTTTCCATCTTCCTGGTAAATTGTCATAAATTATTTCAAATTTTTTCTGTGTTTGAGACTTGCTGAAGTGGTTCAAGTGGAGGACCATAGCAAATGTGCTTAACTCTTGTTCTGAAATCCATGTTCTTAGCTGTGTAACAAGGGAGAATAGTGAGAATGGAAAGAGGCAGAGGAAGAAGGGACACTGTTTGGATGACTGAATTTGGTGAGGGGCTTAGAAGTTCATAATAATTTTCAGTCATTTATTATTCTTATTTGGTGATTCTATACTAAGAGCAGAATTTATTTGCAAGATCTGGCAATGATATAGTTACAACTTTTTAATACAGCTTTGTTATTCAAAAGAGAGATTAAGATAGAAGTGAATTGACAGTCTACCCACAGTTGCACTTTACAATTCATAATGCAGTACACGAGCAGGAACAGTCTATTCTATAAGCTTGCTCAGGTTCCACAGATCTATAGATCTGTAATACACAGGCCAGTGACTCAGGGAAATCCTGCAAAAAGATGCTGTAGTCACGGCTCACAAAAGCCCACTGAAGTCACGACCAATGAGTATGAGTCACGTCACTGTGAGCACCACGGCCCTCATCATGCACCAGGCTTTTATCTGGTTTCTTTCCTCTTAGTGGGAACTTGAAAAATGCCTCACCTCCTAGGAAGATTGGTAACTGCTAATATGCAACCTTAGGTTGTTGAACTCAGCCTGAACCCAGTTTATTTTTATTTCTGCAGAGAGGACATGAATTATCATTCTGACACCAGATCTGAGTAAGCAGATGCACTCCGTGTGATCACACGTGTTCTGTTGCAGGAGGCAGCAGCTCCAGCACTTCCTCCCAGCCCTCTGTTCCTATATATATATTCCTGCGTGGCATGGGTAGGTTTGCATGGCACGTGGGAAAAGGATTGCATGCCCTGGGGAAAAATGTGTAGGAGACAATTCTTCTCAGACAGCAGAGAGTCTGCAGTTCACAGCTGAGAAGGACCCTCCATTGATTAGCCACCTTTGTAGGAGCTTTTTCAGTGGGTTTCTCTGTTGCCTCTGTTTCTCTCATAAAAAACAAAACTGCATATTTACCAGAGAGACTTTCAGGAGCTGTATTAAACAAAAGCACACTTTAGAAAAATCACTAATTTTAGAATGATCATAAATATTTATACCAGACAGACCATAAACAGCACCTTAGAGACCATGCTCTGTTTATATAAATCCCTCCTAATTTAGAAAATGTTGAATTAATAGACTGAGGCAGCCATAGCCAACAAATGCATATTTTAGAAAAGTGCTCTACAGTCTCCTGTGACCAAAATTTCCTCATTCGTACAGTATTCAGTTTTTGTTTCTGGTTAAACCTACTTATATTAGTTGCATGCCATATTTTTTTATAATGCCCTATTCTTTGTGAGTTTTCATGTTAGAGTTTGCTCAGAGATGATAGCTGGCAGCAAACAGGCAGGTCCTCCAGCCCTGCTTCCAGTCGTGCAGAGGGTTTCTGCCCAAGGCTGGGAGTTCCTTGGTGGGTACAGGGCTCCAGGCTGCAAGCTCTGGGCACTAGGGTCCACAGAGGGCTGGGGTGAGCACACTGCAGATCCCACCCTCCTGAGCTGCTGCTGCTGCTGCAGCACAAGCCTGGTTATTCATTTACAGCATTCAAAGAACTGCTGGGATTGTACATGGCTCAAAAGCACTGCTGTAACCAAAACTGTTGGTCTGCTGAATGCAGCTGAGGAAGAGCCTGGTTTGCAGCTGTGTTTCACAGTGTCCTGCTCCTGTCACTGTCTGATTCCACAGGTCCAGCAGAAGGCAGGAAACATAATGCAGTGGAGGATGGCAGGGCAAATGCACCTTACATCTGGATTGATTTAGAGTTGTTGAGAAATCATCATGCTAGAAATTATTTCTCTAAGTGTTTCTAAACTTCTATCTTGTTCTCAGGCCATTTAAGTCTCATTATCTGCCCAGAACAGATGATTATCTCTGAAAATATGTTCTGCCATCCACAGGTTATAATTGCAGTTGGAAGCTACTTTCAGATCTTTTTAGCATAAAAAGATATAATTAAATGTTAGTTCTGTAGAGAAGCTCTGTGTACAAGAAAACCATGGTCCTCATAATCTTTCAATTTCATTTTCAGATTGCAATGGATTGTGCAGCAGGGCTATCCACTTAAAAATCATCTTTCATTATCACAGAGTCAACCCTGTGACTGTCATTTTCTAATCAAAAGGAGAGGTTACCCATCTGTGAGCAGGTTCAAAGCTCTTGGATACGGGAAATAAGGGAGTTGCTGAGTTTCAGAATCTTCTCCCAAGCTGCTACTGGCAATGGCACTGGATTCCCCAGTGATAATGAAGCCACATTCCCCAATACAAAAGTATTATTAAACTAATAATTCCTATCCTAGTGCAGGAAACAGGAACTTAGTTGACCCAAAACCTTGTTAATGAGAAATTATTTGCCAATTTTACCTGTCCCATTAAGATGGTTCAGTATTTTATACACTTGCATTATTGTACATTTTTCCCTGAGTTTGAGCCTAGTTTCCTGAAATAAAAGCAATTTCATACAAAATGGGAAGGATTGATGTGGGGAGCAGTAGCTGAGGGCTTTGTGTACACAAATACCACTGCTGCATCTAGTTTTAGTAGCATGGATTGTGGGAAAGGGCAGCTCTTCTAGAAGGATTTATAAGTTTATGTGATGGGGGCAAAGTGCAACTGAGCTACAATATGTTCTGCCTTTTCTCTCTGATATCCTCATCCTCTCATATCCAGATTATGTTCCACTGTCCTTGGCCATGCTCTGTAGTGTAGCGATAGTGTAACAACATTCTAAGCAAATTTACTTAGTTAACCCAAATAAAGCCAAACTCCCAAGGATCTGCTGGGTTTGGTGGTTTGCTGAATCTGCATTTTTAATAGAACGGTTATTTTTGTGTTTTGCCCATCTGCTAGACCTCTCTTATTGCTTTTTAACTTTGTTACTCATTGTTGCTGCTGTGCACATAAATCAGTGATGGCATCATATGGTTTTGACTGCAACTTTTCCAAATATAACTGCTTTATATGGAATAAATTGAAGTCACTGGGTGGAATAATGAATTCTTCAGAGAACTACCCAGAAAGATGTTTCTCAGGAAGCAGTGAGGCTAGTACAGGGTTGTAAAAAAGCACTTCTTGAATGCTACTGTCTCAATGGTTCTTTCTTCATTTTCTGTAGAGAGAACGAGTGTTTCTTACAGCATATCATATTGCCTTCACATGAACTCTCTCCCTTATTAAAAGAAACACTCTTTTTGGAATTCTTTGTTTGTTTGTTTGTTTTCTAGCATCCAAAGGAGAGGAGGAAGAGTTTGGACTTGTGTGCACTGAGCTGAGGTATATGCAGGGGAATTTTTAGAAGGGATGGGGAGCATAAGGAGCAATCAGGACTCACTGTCTACAATGGATTTCAGGAGTAATCATAGAATCATTTAGGTTGGAAATGACCATTAAGGTAATTGAGTCCAACCATAACCATGACACTGTCTAGTCCTCCACTAAACAGTGTCCCTTAAAACATGTCAACGCATCTCTTTAATACCTCTGGGGACAGTGACAACCACCCCCTGGGTGGAACCTGATCAAGTGTTTCAACACTCTCATCATAAAATTTTCTTCCTTATATTTAGTCTAAATCTACCCTGTTTTAGCTTAAAACTGTCTGTGGTTTGCAGGTTGAGGTCAAGTTGTATTGAGCATAAGAGTACCTTCTGACAGTGGGAATGTAAGCCTGGGGCCAAGCTCTGGCATGAGCATGTGGAATACTTCTCACAGAAATCAGATCCAGGACAAAGTGTTTTTAATGCAGCTCCTGCAAGGAAAACCTCCCACTGAGCATGGCTGGTGGGCTGGGGGTAGGAAAGGATGCCTACCACCGACACTTCTGGAATTTCTCCTCACCTCTTTGCTCTTGTATTTTTTTCAAGTTCTCAAATTGCTCTTGTATTTTTTTAAGGTTCATTAGTTCCAGGTTCTGAGAGATATTATATGACTGCTAGATCCCTAAAGCACACAGAGTCCAGAGGGCAGACAAAGAGGCCTCATACCCTTCATTTTTCAGAGATTTAAGCTTATAAATATATCTGTCTTCTGACTCTGCAGTAAGTTAAAATTGTGGGTCCTTCTCCTACTCTTCATATCTATGTTTTTAAACCCACAACCTGACCCTGCATATTTTGGGGATTTAATAGTCTTTGTGCAATAAAGTGGCCTGGCAGAAGATACACACCCCGTTTTCCTCCTCTGTTTGTGAAGACTGATGTGGCTGTGGTGCCCAAGAGCCTGCTGTCTGCATTGCCCCTGTAGTCCCACATGTAAGTCCCTGAGTCAGACTGACCTCAGGAAAGGTCTGGAGGACAAGATGGAGAGTCAGGAATGTAATCAGGCCAAAGTGCTCTGTGGACCAACAGCTTGTAACTTAGGGCATTCCATCCTGCTGCTCACCCTCGAGCCACGATGAATGAGAGCAGCTCCTTGCTGAGCTGAGCTCTTCCTACCCTGTGGCCAGAACCAGAAAGTGCAAACCTGTCTTAGTGCACTTTTAGCTCCCTGCAGCCTCCCTGGAGATCCCTGGGAAACTACTGGGGGTACAGACTCTTCCTGAGATATTTCTTCTTCATTACCCAATTCTGCTGTATACTCACTGCTCAATTATTCAGAAAAAGGGTGAGGAGGAATAACCTAGATAAAGAATCGTGATATAAAAAATATGTAAATGAGGCTATAAGAACATACTGAGTGTGCTCACCTTTGCCGTCAGCTCTCTAAAAAGAAGAGCTTTAACCAAAAGTAGGCAAAGCTGTGCTTGAGGTGAGCAAAAAACATGTTCTGTTATGAGCTCCATAATAGAAGCATCAGCTAGAGACAGGGCCTCGTTAACCCACAGCTTGAGTAAGGGTATGTGAATTTCAGATCATGTCTCATTTTTAAATTAAAAAGAAAATCCTGTTCATTGAAAATGAAGCTGAAACATTGTTAAAATGTGCTCTGTTGTGGGATCTCCTTGGAAATGTGGTAGTCATGTCCTTATGGCATTCTCTGATAAGTGAATTGATGAATACATGTTTTGCTACATCAGCATCACTGAAATTAGAACTGATGATTATGTTTTATTTCCTATTAGAAAAAATATTTTGTGGCATCTCGACTACATTTAAACAAGGTATTTATCAAGAGCTCAGATGCATCCTTCAGTGTTGACTGTTCCTAGCCATTGTTAAATGCTCAATTAATCTATACATACTTGGAAAAAAATTAACTTTTCACAGCTAAGAACTGTATAGGAACTCTGCAAAACCATATAAAGAAATTTGATCTGGTTTTTTTCTGGAAAAGGCAAATACTGTATGCATTTGAGAGAGGGATTCTGCCATTTTTCTCCTGTTGTGGAGAAATACATTTCTGCTGGACAGCTTCAGGAATTGCTTGTGCATTTTATCCAATGGCAATTTAAAAATACTTGAGTGTTCATAGGGCAGGGCAAGCCAGGCTAATACTTTAAACAGTGGACTAAGATAAGTTAGTTAAGATATATTCATTTTTTTATTGCATGCAAGGAACTTTTTTACCATAACACATAGTGCAATACTCTGAAAATGCTGTTTCCAAGCATTTTCACTTAGATCCAAAGGGAACATTAGCTTGTGAGCAGGAGATGCTTCTAGAAAATACTTATTAGTTTTCTCAGATTTGAAATGGAATCAAACTGGATGTCCTGTACTGGTGTTGAGGTAGCTAATCTAAAGAGGAGGGTGTTAGACACCAGTGGCTGCAGGAGCTCCCTGAGCCTGTG